CCATCTTAAAAGGTTTCGGCGGTCAATAATGCTCAACACCTAATGGCTACAACTTCCCACTATACGTGTCTACGTATGCAATAATATTGTATTGCCTATCAATATAGTTGGTTGCCTCTAAACCAACTTGTTGAAAGCACTTCAAGGCATGTGCGCACGACATGTAGTAGATGGTCCATTTTCCACATGAACATAACCTGCTGGCTTCATTCACCGTCTGTAGATTATTCCCCCGGTGTCCGCGGATAGCGGTCTTAACTTCAAAAACACCCCGATCGTGATCGTACTATAAAAATGAATGCCAATGTGCTCGCCTCCTATACCTTTCAAATCTTCTCATCGGTGTTGGCATAAATTGAACACCACCATCCATCAATGTCGATGCAACTCCATGCCTTTCAACAAACCTCTCCGCACTATGTTTGAATGTCATGCGGACCGTGGCAGTGACAGGCAATCTGCGGGCAGACTTCAACAAGCCGTTGAATGACTCCAACACATTTGTAGTCAGGGCTCCCTATCGTCTGCTGCCATCAACATGCAATGTCCACATGAGAAGCTCATGTCCCATCAACCAAGTATAGGCTCGTGGATCTAACTGTCGGATCGCTTCCATGCGCCTCATGAATTTGCACTGCTGGTGCTCAGTTGCAGCCATCCACATTAAATCATGCAAGACCTTGTCAGGATATTTCTTCTTGAAATTAGCCTTCAGGTACCTCACACAGTAACGGTGGTATGCATAGGGTTCCTGTCATTCAGGCAAGTGTCGTACAGAACTTAAAATACCACCATGTCGATCAGATATTAGACAAATACCTGAACGGTGTTTGACAACGTGCTGCTTCAAGTGGTTCAAAAAAAGCGTCCACGTCTCTTCGCTTTCGTTGGCACAAATGGCAAAAGCTAGTGGAAATATTTGTCCGTTGGCATCTACTGCAACTGCAATCAAAACCTTAATATCATATTTTCCATAGACATGAGTACCGTCTATGGAAATTACGGGACGACAATGTACAAAACCATCAATTGCTAGTTTAAATGACCAGAACACATAGTTGAAAATATATTCGGGTCTGTCCGGACTCCGTTCACGCCTCCATTCAACAACAGTCCCGGGGTTAAAATGTTGCAGTGCAGCCATGTACCCGGGCAGAGATGAAAAAGACTTATCCCAGTCACCATAAATATGTTCAAAGGCACATTTGCGACCGAGATATGCCTTTCTTTTGGTTATAGTACAACCATACTCCTAGTGGACGACTGTAATACACTCTTTAATCTTGAATCTAATGGACACTTCAAATATGGAATCAAGACAAGATAAATCAAGTCTACATCCAGATTGTAGCGATTCTCATTGAATGTGTCCATTTCACATCTGTGGGTGCTAATAAGTTTACCCACTTTCCACAAACCTGATTTCTTCTTGCTGGCACGCAACATCCAGCGACAACCCATAAAGTCTCTACGACATACAACCTTGTATACCTTCGTAGTTGACTCCCTTACCATTATCTCACGGCACTCTCTTACGCTGTAGATTTTTACAGCCCTGATTAGGCGAGCTTTATCAGGGAAATACATGTCCTTTGCAAGCATCGCTGGTCTAGACTCATCCCACATCGCTGACCGAAATTCATCATCATTCCTTGTGAGGAAATCCACGTCGGGCATACTTGGCAAATTATCAAGGTAGAGAATATTCCGCTCATGAAAGGGCACGTGAGACTCGTACACTCTTGGTCTAACAGGATGTGGAGGAGCATGCTCCCTCGTCAGCTCAGGTTCGGCATCCACTTCCTCTTCGTCATCATCCTCATCATGGAAGGGTGTGTCATCTCCAGACTCATCGACATTGTTTTCATAATCACTATCATCTAGTAAAACTACGCATATTCCAACTAGGGGCGGGGTCATAACATGTAAAATTCATATCCGGACTCTACCCCCTATAAAAAATAAGAGTGTTAATACAAATCCAATTAAAACATAAAATAAACATCGTTAAAGCGTAGAAAATTGAAATTTACCAGTCGTCTTGTGGATTATATAAAGTCGAAAAATTATTTTGTGACTGCTCATTCGTCGGTGGTGACAAGTTTAAATCAAGGCAAGCTCTTTCATCAGCAATCTGTCCGGCAAAAACTGCTCCAGAATAACCACCCGATGACTAGGGGTTATCCCTACTATGCATACCCTCATTATTGGGAACGTCTTCAACCTTGACGTACATTTTCAATAATTTTATTACAATAAATTCTCTGTATTCATCCGGAATCCGCAAAAAATCTCTAAGAGTTTCATCATCTTCGATGTTAAACTCAGAATAATAAGCAAACCCCTACGGAGTCACTGAATACGGAAATCTACTAGTTACTTTAAGGTTCACCGAGNCCCAATATAATGAAACCCTTATTTTTGGCTCTTCAGTCATTATAAAAAAATGCTTGATAATAAGAAGAGAGAAGTATGAACGGAAGTTTGAAAGAAAGTTTTGAATGGATTTTCATAAAAATCAAACGCCTTTAAATAAGGCAAGTCCGAGCTTGGGGTGCAAATTTTTTTTTATGTAAAACGCAGTATAATACCACGTTTTATGTATTTGAATTATTGTTATGTCAGTTATCCGTAGAACACTTATTGGTGGGTCCAAAAATCAGTGTAAAACGCAGTATAATACTACGTTTCAGTTTAAAACGTAGTATTATAATACGTTTTACACTAGAAAACAAATATTCTCTGCAGTCCTACAAAACTCTTATTATTGGTGGGCCCAATTTTATAGGGAAACGTAGTATAATACTGCATTTAAGGAAAATGCAGTATTATACTGCGTTGCCCTTAAAAAAATTAATTTTTTAATAAAACGCAGTATAATACTGCGTTATAGTTAGAAATATAACTTTTTTTAATTGTATAAACGTATTTTATGTCCAAAAAGGCATCATTTCAGTTTCTTCCTCCGTGCTACCTCATAGGAAGTTTCTTTGGATAAATTCTATCTTGTTAAGGGTTGTTTTGGGGAGATCATAAATCTGCATGACGTAGTTCAGGATTGCGGCTAGGGTGGCTTTTAAGTCGTTAGCGGCTATGTTCGAGCACCTCAAAAGGTTCTTAACTCGTAGGCTGAGTAGCTCGAAGCCTTGTGATTTTTGAAGCTAACATGATCAAAGCTCATTTGCCTGTTGAGAGAAGCCTATTTTAACCGGTTCGTCCTCAAATGCCACAGGAAAGGTATATATTCGTACATATCTACTTAATCAACTCCACATAGGCCTTTAACTGGAAAAGGAGTTAGTGAGAAATTCTTATTGTGAGGCTCTAAGCAATATGCCAAAATTCCCCCACCCCCACCCCACCCTCAACCAAAAACCTAAACAGTACCCCCATAATGTCGTGTTTGCTAATTGGACATGTAAAAGAAAGGGCGGTTAGTTGATTTTACAACTTAGAACTTTATATTTTACTGTTGTTATAATTAACAATGTGGGACATTTCAACCTGAAACTTCCATTTGATAATATATTCAGTAAGTTGGAACATATAATCACTATTTTGTGGTGAAACGTAAAAGACGTTCTAATGGATTTGGTTTAGTGTTTGGTAGATTCTGATTTTTGAAAGAAAAATCATTGTGACGTGTTTCAGTGTTTGGACTTATAATTTTGAATTTTTGCCCAAAAAGAAGTTCGGACTTGGTTGTTAACATTTCCAAAATTTATGAGTTACATTTTTATTCATCTTTTTTTAGTCTATCCATAAGAACTTAAAAAATGTAAATACTCTTATATCACAAAAAATGACGAAAAGCAAAAAAAATGAACTTCAGATGTTTTTTTAAATTCTAAAAGGTAACGAAATCAATTCCCTAAAGTGTTGGTTTTATATTGCAAATCAGCTAAGTATTTTGTTTATTTCTAAGCTTTCTAGCTTCTAAAACTAAAAATACCATCTGTTTTAGGTTATTTGTAAAATAAAAAATAATCCAAAAAGTTAGTATGGATTTGACTTTCGGGGAGCTTTTAGATCCTAACAATACTATAGTTGAAGTTAAAAAATTAATTTAACACAAATTATCATTCTCTAAAAAGATATTCTTCCAAATGTGATCTTTCTTTCATTAAAAGCAAATAAATACTATGTTAGTTGAAATTTTCACCCTGTAAACTCGCTTGCAAAGATGCTCCTAGGCCCTAGCTTCTATTGGACAGTAATCCTTTTGCAGAAGGTCAAACACGCATGTCATTTATACATGGTAATTTCCCAATATCTACAATTTAGCACATGAGATAAAAGTTAACAATAATCCATTCAAACCTACCACTTTACATTTATTCTACGCTTAACCTTATTCAAGCCCTTAACATGCGATAAGATGAGTTGAATTTGTCATCTTAGCTTTGAATATTGTTGAATAGTACTATTTGACGACCTCAACCTCCAAAAATTTCACTTAAGAAATTTTGAATATAAAAAAGTAAACACAAAAAAATAAAAAATAAAAACTAATGAAATTCAACATTATTATATTTAAAAAAATTGAGCTATATATTGGCTTTTCCATACAACTCAACCCCGTTGAAACAAGCTTTTGCAGAAATACAGAGTAAGACTGCGTACAATAAATCCTTCTAGCGGAGCCAATATTTGAACCATATGGGTTCGGGATTGTAATTCTTTTAAGTTACTGGATTCTAAATTAATAAGTTGTACATATTCGATGAATTTCTCAAGAAAATACGTGATTTGAACAAAAGTTATTGTGTTCGGCCACACCCGTTTTCCCCACTCTATCTCCGCCCCTACTTATGGTTCGACCCTTTCCCAGATCCCATGTATAACAGAAGCTTAGCGCACCCGTTGCCATTGCATACTGCCCAACCCTTCAGTTATATACACTACCCCTCCTTATTTGCTGGAAAATGGAAATGCTACCTCCTAATTAAGGCGGCGGCAATTGGCGTAATTTACCTGCCTAAGCTACTACCATTTCAGCTGTTCCGCGTCGGCAACACGCCTTCTTGTATGTGAAGTAAGCATTCGGTGTACAGTTGACATATTCCTAGCTCCCTCCCTTTTGCTGGCATATATACCCATCTCCCCCCATTCAACAACTCTCATCTCAAACTCAATTTTTTGTAAAACCCCTATTTAGATATATAGCTAATGAGCAACGTTCCAAGCTCCTTAACAGATTCTTCTCTCAGCCTCTTCAATCTAGCTATTTCTTCTTCTGATCCTTGGCCTTTCTCTCTCTCATCTGATCATTTTCTTGTAATATTTCCATCCTTAATTACACAATATCTTTCTGCTTTAACAAACAAGAAAGCCGCCACCACTTGTTAATTTTCTTTGGTTGGATCTTATTAATTTCCAGAGAGATGGGAAACGTAGACGAACGCCATCATCATTCGAGATTCCATGTCCAGTTACATCTGCCTTTTCACTTTCATCGTCATGGGCATGAGAAGGAGGAATTGAAGGACATCCCACGAGGATGTGTTGCAGTAATGGTAGGTCAAGGAGAGGAGCAGCAGAAGTTCGTGATACCTGTGATGCACATCAACCATCCTCTGTTCATACAGTTGTTGAAAGGAGCAGAGGAAGACTATGAATTTCATCATAATGGACCCATTAACATCCCTTGTCATGTTGAGGAGTTTCGCTACGTTGAGGATATCATAGACAAGGATCACCACTTGTGGACGTGCTTTAAGGCCTGATTTTTTTTTTCATTTTGTATAGTATATATATAGGTGCTTGGGTTTCTTTTCTTTTTTTGATTGTATTTGTATGTGTTACCTACCCATGACGATGACGAACATTGAATGACAATACAGCTGCTACTACACTTTTCTTCTTTCTGTAAGCGAATTTGAGGATTAAAACTTTTGTATTCCTTATTTCGATATTAAAGACCTAAGTATTGCTATAAGGAAGGGATAATTAAGAATTTCTTACTATTATCGTAAGCGCGAATCTAGAAGCTTGAATGTGGGTAGGGTTTAGCTGAATTCAATTGCTCATATAGTGTATTTTATATTAAATTTAGAATCAAATTAATAATTCTTAAAATTGTTAAAATTAAAATCTTGCGTCACAGAAGCTAGGTTGTTCCAACGACAGCTGGTGAAAGAAGTTGAGACAAAAGGGATGACAATTTCAAAGTATTCGCCATATGCTTCTTCTTATTTTTATAAGTTTTGTCTGCACCGCGAAATAAAACTCCATTTTGATTAGATATTGACCCCTTCTAGTGAGGTATATGGACGAGTCAAACTTAAAACTAAATTAACACAATTTTAGATTAAATTGCGTACAGATTCTATTTTTTTTTTTTTTGAGTAAAATCCATGTCATCCCCTTAACTTTTAAGGGTTTGAAAACAATACCCCTCTCATATTTTGAATGGGAAAGGAACCCCCTTATTCAATATATTTTTTTTTTTTTTTTGAAAGTTTCTTTTTAAAATACAGATTTTCCCCCTCTCTCTATCCTTTCAAAAGTATAGCATAATATTTTTCATCCAAACCAATACTTGAATTTCGTCTTTCTTGCTTGTAAAATTTAAAATATTTTTCTATTATATTGAAGCGCGTTGTCAAAATTTTCGTAAATAAAAAAAAAAGATCTTGCATACAGAATTCAAGAAATATGATGAACACACATTCACCATGGATGCTTTAGCATTTCAATTTGAAGGAAAAAAATATATTGAAATAGTCAATTCTATGACATATATAATAGCTGAAAAAATTATTGCTATGAGTATTAATTTATTTATGTATTTTCTTTGTATATTAAAATTATTATACTAAAGCAATTATTAATCTTTACTTATTTTGTGATATCTTTATTGAATAGAAATTATAATTAATAATGTCATATTTAAAAATTCATTATGGATGCGTTTTTGCATTATATTATATCTTAAACTATGTAAGAAGCATGCTAAAGGGGTGTTTACCCGTAAAATGGTACAATTGAATTTATACATGGTTTATAAATACGTGAATTAATTTGATCCTAAAATAATGGATGAATTAGATAAAAATATGATACTTAGCCTTGAGATGGATATAAAATAGTAGAAATAATAATTCCAGGAGCAGAGCTTTCGGGCTTAATAGCAATGATATCAGTAAACAAGAAGATAAAAATTATTTTGAGCTTTTAATAGAATGTAACGTGTATTTGTCAGAAAATTCGTCTCCTTTACAATGATAAAAGAGCTCATTATTTATAGCTGCACATAAGGAACAAGGTCCTAGGATCAAGCCCCTCTTTAATGTCAATTATGAAGGCCATTAAAAAATGTGTAACGACATGCAGTAAATGCCATATTCCTTGTAATGGGCCGTGTACTTAATGCCATATAATATTCCTCATTAAATGCCATATCATTCTCTCCAGTAACAGACGGGATCGTCGCCTTCTGATTCAACTATCTTCTGTCTTCGGCTCTATGTATCACTTTCTTATGCGATCATTTAATATAAACATATTTTACCCTGTACAAGGGGAACTCTATAAATTATATAAGTCCTAATTGTTTTTCATATCTTGAGATTTTGGCTATAATGAAAGATCTTGATTATTCTAAAAATTATCTACTAAAAAAAGGAAAGATTTTTATTCAAAAAAATATTTCACCGAAAAATTATTGAACAAGGGGGTTCCCTTTTCCATTCAAAATGCGTGTGTGTGTGAGGGGGTAATTATTTCCTAACCTTTAAAGGTTAAGGGGATAAAATGGACTTTACTCCTATTTTTTCAGACTTTTGATGGAGCCATTCTCTAATGGAACTTGTGATTATTACTTTTAAAGGAAAATACATAGGGAAAGAAATAAGAAGTAATGGGAGGGGCTTCTAGCTAGTTTAAGAATTGACTCCCATTCTTTTCAAGTTATGTTTTAGCAAACTAAATACTTATAACGATTAACAGATTTTCCATTCTTTCCTAATTAAAGGTTGTTTGACTCAAAAGATATTAGAATCTTTTTTGAACAAATCAATCAAAGATGAAGGGATAAATCGTAACTAAATATAGTAATCTCTAGAATGGTAATAAGTAAAGAGAAGAGAGTTGCAAAGTTTTCTTTTTGTTCAAGATTGATAAGCTTTTCATAATCCTCTCTCCTTTACAGGGTCCCTTTCCCCCCTTATATACTAGCAAGAAAACCTTCTGAATTGTAAGAAATAAAATATAAGGAATATTCGACGGAATATTCTTAATGTCCCCTAATGGGCTTACACTCCTACAAGGTCGTATAGTTTCTTCTTTCGCCTTAAGGTCGTCTCCATCGGGATGCCGATTCGAAGGTACTTGGTCGTTTGTCGTACTCATCATAGGTTGAGGTTGGTCAAATTTGGACCCATACAGTTAGTCCCTCCGCTTGTCAGGGTCGCGGCCGGATGCGTCCTCGATGAGCGGACTTCGTGCATTCTTTTGGAGAAATTTGTCCTGTGGGAACATTATGACGTGGCCAATAGGAGTTGATCATCATGTTTGGCAAAACATCGTGTGATACACTTCTCCGGGAAGTGATGTCAGCTTTACGTGCGTCATCATTACGCAGGTTTTCGAGGCAGGGACTGACGACATGGTGCTTCGATTCTTGCGCTGCTTTGAGGCTAGTCGCCTCGATTCTGGCACCTCCCAATCCTATAAATAGGTGAAGAATTTGATTTTTTTGAAAAACTTTAGCCATTTATTTCTTGAAAACCTCTTTCGTTCCCTCTCACTTGCTCTCTTATCCTTATGTTCTTCTTTTATTCACCATCTGAAGCTTCTTCTTCCTTCCTCTTTTTGTGTTGATACTCCTTCAAATGATATTATGCTGAGGTCTCGTCATTCCCGCGAAAAGGTTCCTGAAGCCAACCCGTCATCAACGGTACCTCCTTCTGACAGCGGGGATGCAGTGGTAGATAAGAGTGACAGCCCTCCTACGGTAGATGAGCTACTACCGAGGCACCCCTTATCCCGGAATGACTTCCTCAAAGATCCGCCTCTTGTCCCGAACCCCATCTTTTCTGAGACGTAGCAGGTCCATATTGAAGTCCTTCGTATAAACTATGGCATTCCTGCTCATATAGAAATGGTTCCAGCGGGGAGGGATTACGTAGACGTCCATAGACCTGGGTGTTGTGCTTTCTATGAGTACTCTTTTATGATCGGCTACACCCTTTCTCTCTTCCCCTTAGCGGAAGAATTCTGTAGATTTTACCAAGTTTGCCCAGCACAACTTTTGCCATACACGCTCAAGGTGCTTCTGCTATTGACTAAGTATACAGAGTTGGCGGAGTGTAGCATTTTTGTCCACCACCTTTTGCACCTGTTCACACCTGGCTTCCTCAGGGGTACCATGGTGCATTTGAGGCTTCGTGGTAAGAAAGGACTGGTAGTTAGAACGGATGACCGCGCGAGCTGCAAGTTTTAGCACAATTACTTCTTTGTCAAGACCGAGCACGTCGTTTCTGACTCCGCTAGATTCCCGGATCTGTGAAACGGGACTCGTACGTGCCGTTATTCGTTATGTTCCCCTCTCTTCTGTATTCACTGTTAAGTTTATTCGCTTGCCGTTTTGTAGCTATGGGTCATACGCCTCGCCCCATTGTGGGTATCAAGGACTGGGTAGCCCGCATGTTGCCATATGCAGCAGAAACTCGAACTTGGCCCGCCTTTGTACAACGTTATGGCCCTAAGGTTTCCTCAGGTAAATGTCTTACTTAGTACTTCGTTGGCCATGCGACCTTGCTTAATGGTATGACCCTTATTGATGATAGGTCGAGGAGCTTCCAGGTGGAGGGCGCCGGTCCCCGCCTTTAAACAAGTCGTTGCTACTGCAGATACGCAATTTTTCTTGAGCGAGTCTGTTCGGGGAGGTCGTCCTCAACCTATTCAATTAGGAGATCCGTCTCGAGTTGTGACCGCGAGGGAAGAGGCTTCTTCGGTTCCGGCCTCACATCATTTGGATGAATCTTCCAATGGGGACGAGCCATTGTCGAGGAAAAGGAGGAGGCTGGAGCTAGGGAAGGGCGTGGCTACGGACGCTAATGGAAGCAGGGCGTCCCCGATAGCCCCTGTGCCCGTATTTATGGCCGATGCCATTTTGTCGGGGAGATCTCCCCAAGTGGAAGGAGTTGGCCCAGAAGTTCGTTTGGTGCGCTCTGTTGAGGGTGGTGCATCGTCTAACATTGGAGGGCGTCGTGTGGAGGGTGGAGGCTCGGGATCGGATATCGACCTAGAGGATATTAATGAATTTATGGGTTGCCATACCCATGTGGAGGTTAGGATAGATGGATCCGACCGTCATGTGGTCGTTCCACGAAATTACAACTTGTTGCTGAACAGTGAGCAGGTGGCGTCGGCCCTAGCTCCTCTATGTGTCGCTCCTGAAAGCGAGATGCTTGGGGTGATGAGCGACATGGAGTTATCTCAGAAGGTCGCTGGTATGGCCCTACAGGTAGGTGCC